CACAGATCAGAATACTCTCAATCCTCATCAGAGAAAACTTCTTGCAGTATATGGCAAGTAACACAGACCTAAGTGTCCTTCAACAGATGAATATATAATAAAAATGTGATGCATGTACACAATAGAATATTATTCAGCTGTAAAGAAAAAAATGAGATCATGAAGTTTCAGGTGAATGAATGACATTAGGAAATACTACATTGAGTGAGGTAGCCCAGACCCAGAAAGACAAATGCTACATGTTCTCTCTTATTTATGGCTCCTAGGTCCCAATCTTTAAATGTGAGTATATATAGCTGGAGTAGCCACTGATACCAGGAAAGCAAAAACGGGACCAGAGTGGGGTGATAGAAAGCACCATGGGGAGAGGAGGAACAGGATGCCTGTACTATGAAGGGAAATATGAAAAAAGGGGGTTACTTACCTGGGAGTGGGGGAGGGGGCAACGCAGGGAAGAGTGGGAGGGGAGAGATAAATAAAAACACAAAACACTAAGGATGATTGAAAAAGTCATCAATAGCCATATCATTTTATGTTTTGTGTGCGTGCATGTGTGTGTGTGTGTGTGTGTGTGTGTGTGTGTGTGTGTGTGTATAATGAAGTTAAACCACTTGAAATGTTAATACTTCCCACAAGAGCCACAACAATCCTCAATATCGGGCATGGGTAACCCCTTTTTAAATTCTCTGTCGGGGGATTCCAAGATACTCTCCACCACACTCCACAAGACAATCTAGGCTGTTGCTGTTGCCCTCAGTTTCATCTCAGAAGTTGAAAGTAAGTCCCTGTTGCTGAAGACACTCTACATTTTAGACACAGGGCTTGGAGAAATAAAGCTGGATCTGACCTGAAAGCCTCCTCTCACAGGACTAGATTTCATAGTACAGGAACGTGCTATGTAAACTGCCAAGAGAGAAAAGCCATCCATAGTTTTACCTAGATGCCACACCTGGAAACCATAACAATAACTAGATCAGTAAGATGTCCCCAAAGTGGCAATAGTGGCACTTACAATTTGGTGGTAACCAACAGCTGTCTATTGGACTTAACACAGCCAACTAGTCTTTGCTGGTGAGGTCAGAGACCTAGAAAAAAACCACTACTGCCACTTTCCAAACCAGAATAATTTCTGACTTCATTCTATTTATTTATTTAGGCATGTCCCACCACCTTACGGCTCTGACTTTATTCTAAATACTTAAGCCTTCTGCCCATAGTTTAGTATAGCTTTCACCCAACATCAAAGAAGCTTCTTTTTGCAGTAGACAGACCATCACCGAAATCTACCACTAGTTAAACCGCAGAGAATAACCGCCCAGCTGCAGTCGATTTGTTAAATACACAACCCCTACACCTACGGCTCAGAGACAATCTTGGAAAACGGTGCACAACAATTGTAAGAGCCAGAGGAGCAATATCGGCTCCAAGACTGTGTCTTCTCTATACGACAGGGAAGCTACAGTCATGAAATCTCAACAATTTGGTTGCTTAAACAAGACCAGAACAATGATGACACCATTTGGCATGCCAACATGATAGGGAAAATCTTACAAAACTCCTACCCTTGAGGAAGAGCTACAGGCAATTAATGACTGCTGAGAGAGGGAGAATCAGTCTTCCCTAAGGGTGAACCCCCTAACTGATGATCTAATACCAAGTGGTCAACCCTAAATATATATATGAGTAACACTAAATGGACTCAGCAGGTGGTATGCATTATATATATATGTATATATATATAAAATAAAGAGAGGTCATGAATTTAGGATGCAGGGGAGGAGTTGGAGGAATGGGGGAATAATATAAACTCTTCTCTGTCTCTCTCTGTCTCTCTTTGTCTCTCTCTCTCTCACACACACACACATATATATATAAGATAGATGAAAGCAAGGGTGTAACCCACAGGTGGAGAGAGATTTCTGGCAAAATATTTGGTGTTTTTTTCACACAACCGTGTCTGCATTTTATTTTTTTAACTTTCCCGACTCTATATATTTTTGTACCTCCAACTGCATGCACTTCCCGTATTTTTTTCTTTCCAATTTTTGTTTTTGAATTAGGGCGTTCAACCAATATAGAAGACGATAGAGACGTTTGTACTGTCAAATAAGTTCGAGGTACTGCCTCTGGGTTCTCCACTAGATGGTGTAGTTCATTTAGCGAACTGGAGGCAGGTGATGGCAGTCAATGCTCTTCTACATTTACTGACAAAAGTGCCTGCTGGCTGCCTAAGAAAATGCATTACTTTCTATGTTAACTTTGAACGTCCATAAAATGGATGCCAACTGGGAAGGTATAACCAATAAAGTACAATTGCTCAGTGGCAGAGCTCTTCCCAGCAGCCTTTGCCTTGGGAGGACTCACATAACTAAAGGTATAGAAAGGATACAGTATAGTAGGGTTTTAAAGACCCATAATAACCACTTGGTTTTAAAGAGAAAAGGGTAAGAACAGAGGTGATAAATGTTTCTTGGAGTCTGATGGCAAAGCATGCCTAGTTGCTCTGTTGAGAGAGATTGTGAAGCCACACCCAGCTCAGTGGAGAGTGCTGTCATCGATTACCAGCAACTTATGTAGGCACAAGAAGCAGAAGGGATGGACATAATAGACAGTTGTCATCTGGGGGGTTAGTTGTTTCTCATAGGAACACAGTTGGCATTTTGGAGGCTCTTTTTTTTTTTTCCCAACAGGATAGGACATTGCAGGGCTTTAGTCACTAAATGCTGGTAGTGGCTCTAAACACTAGAAGTATCTCTTGACATAGAGATAAATAAAAATCAAGGGAGAAAATGAGAAAGAGTATGGAGTTGGGTGACTGGGAAAGTGGGGAGGGTCTGGGAGGAGTTGTGGGAGGATTCTTAAAGAAGGGTGAAAACATTAGACTCTATTGCATAAAAATTGTTTTCAATAAAATCAAGACTCCCGTGTACTTTAAAAGCCTGGTATGGAGCTAGTATTTTACTCAAACATTATTGTGTTAGACAAAGAATGACTTAATATGGATTTATGTGAGGATTTAACTAGAATCTCAAGGTCTTCAAGACTAAGGAAGAAAAGGAGGAATTTCCAGATTCTAGGACTAGGCTGAGCTTTGTAGTCAGAAGATGGATGAGAGTGGGGATGAGAATGAGAGACCAGCAAAGAAGATGTTCATGGTGACAGAAGGGGTAGATAGAATCTGACAGCAGGTGGTTGATATATCAGTCATAGTAAACAAAAGGGAAGTGGAGCCACCCCCCCCCCCATTGCGTGGAAAGCAGTATTGCTTAAACATCAGTGCTCCTCGGGTTCCCTCACCCCACCTTAGGGCTCCACCACCGTCACACCTACTCTTTGGTCAGCATGCCAGCTTTATTAGCAGTACTAAGCAGCATTCTTTGCTGCACGTGACTGCATTAACAATATTGACCCCTTAGGTTGTTTGGAGGACAAGGTTGTGTGCAAGTTAATAAAGGGACAAATAAATCAACAAATATTCCTTGTTCATCAAACGTTGGAGATAACCTATTTTCAGTCTGTGACTCTGTAGAT